TGTGTTTGTAATAAAATATTAAAAATAATTTAACTATAAGATATATGCTTAATAAAGGATCACTTAACTTGTTCCTACCACATCTTTGCCACAATAGACGAGTTGTGGCAATTGTACACTGAAAGTCCAGCAATCACATGTGGGTGGAAGTTTTCAGTTCTTCAGACATCAATGGCAACAAATAACAGGGTGTTTGGTGGGGTGTCTGTGTTGAGTAGGAGAAAGAAAAAACCTTCTGGCATTGTTGATTAAAAAATAATGGGATCATATCTGGCGATTGTACTTATTCAAAGATTTTATGAAGCAACTCTTCTTGGTGACTGGGGAGGGGATGGAAAATGTTGCCTAAAGTTGTGTTGTTTAATCACTGAGGATTCTGTCTGAGAGCAGTGAGGGGCTAATCCCTCCCAAGAAACAGAGTTCTGACAAACATTTGATGATAAAAGGGCTCTCATGGTAAGGGTTAAAACCACCTGTAATGTTACCATAATAAGGTACCATCTGACGAGGGGGTGGGCAGGACTCACATAGATCTGCTTCATTTGTGGAATGAATGGATGACTACAGTGGCTCTTTGAACATGCATGCCTTTCAACCCCAGTGAGAGTTCCCAATAGACAAGGAAATTAAATCTGTCACAAAATTTAATACGTTTCTGAAAGATCATGAGAATTAATATTATATTTAAGTTAGGTCCATATTTAAGGTAGTTCCAATTTAGTTATGTCCATAATTAAATGCAAGTTGACAACAAATGACCAGAATGATTACATGAGGTAGTTATTATATAAGATCTTTTTAATGCTCTTGTAGCCAATTTTCCCTGGCCAATCATATTCTAAAAAATATAGTCAAAGGAAACAACTGATTAAATATACAACTAGTCTCTTTATATCCCAAGACTCAAAACAATAGAAGCTTTATTATGATATATAAAGCGTGTGAGGTGGAGAGAGAAGTGAAATTCTGGAAAGGCAAGACACAACTTCGAGGTATTAGATAAGTGGCCTGAGATACGAAGTGTACCAATACCACGCAGAGCAAAGTGAGGGCTGTGAGAAACTTATTTTTTTTAAGTGCTTTCAAGGCACAAAGGTAGCCTTTAAGAGCTTCACAGACATATAGAAGCACTTTTACCCATAACAATGTCCATGAGTTTTTTAGATTTCTACTTTAAAATCCTAAATCATCTCCAATCTCCTGTGAGCAAAGTTAATAATCCAGTCTATATATAAGCTCTACTTTTTTTAAAACTTAAAATGCGAAATATACTTAAGCTCCTCATTTTGACTTGTTATAACTGTATTCCTAAAATCAAATAGCACACTTTAATGCCACTGTAAGTTCCTTTTTACATAATGCCATTTTCTTGCAACTTGGTCCTAAGGAAGTTCTAGACTAAAATAGTGCATCAAGAGGACAGTGCATAATCAGCCTCACTAAAAAAAGCTTGATTAATACTAAATATGTCCTAGTTTCTAATCAATTATACTAATGAAGTCACAGGCAGCACATCTGTAAGCCCCAACAAAGCCCCTGATCTCAGCATTGCCTGATAACGCAAGCTCCTTGGGAAGTTGCTCAGTGCCAGCATCCTCAGTGCAGCATCCTCATGTCAACAATGCTAACTCTCTGCGAATTAAAAGAGGGCATTCACAAAATGCACGTAATCCTGCAACACTGTTATGTTATTCCCTTAAACACAGTATTGGGTTCCAGGATGAAATGTCAAATTAATTCGCTCTCCAAATATAACAATAGAACCTAAGTGTCTCTCTTAAATGACATATCCTTTTCCAAGTGACAGACTGATAGGCAAAACATTTGCTACTTGGTGTTTTATGAACCTCTGCTAGGAGATAAGCTGGAGTCAAACACTTGAATAATCTGACTATCCAAATCTGCCTCCAATTGGGGAATTGGAGTCCCTTGATTTATGTCCATCTCACAACAACAGAAATGGAATCTGAAGAAACTTCAGGTGACACTATTATTTACAGGCTATCCTTTGTCCTGTGAACATTTGGGCAGTCAGATAGTCACTTGTCAGTTTTGTGTCAAATTATCTCAAGTCACATAAGCTATTACAGTCCAAATGCCAAAATAAATATAACTCTGATCTCTCTCTTTTATTCAGTCTGAGTTCTATAATTTTTTTCTATATCATTTGCTTACTAGCCAGGTAAATGATACCCTAGAGTAGACAGTGATGAGATTAATCAGGGTTTTTGTTATTTTATTATCTTCAGTATAAACTCAGTTATATTTGAGTTCAGTTAAGAAAATTTTCTAAATATTTAACTCCTATCAATTATAAGCACGTACACAGAAGATGATGCAAGTTGGGAATTTATGCTGTTAGAAAACCATATATAATAGAAATGAAAAAAGCAAAATCATTGATTACTCAAAAAGAAATATTTAAACAATTATATGAGGTAAACGTTTAAGCTGCTTTGCTAATATATTAGCGAAGCTTAGAGGTTACCCAGTGTTATTGAGTGAATTGTGCCCCCCCCAAATCCGTATGTTGAAACCCAAAAGCCCATGTGACTGTATTGAAGATAGGGCCTTTAGGAGGTGATTAAGCTTAAATGAGATCATAAGAGTGAAGCCCTGATCTGATAAAACTGATGTCCTCCAAAGATGAGGAAGAGACACCAGAACTTTCTTTCTGACATGTGAAGACACAGCAAGAAGCTGGCCATACACAAGCAAGAAAGTGGGTTCTCACCAGAACCAGACCGTGTTGACCCCCTGATTTTGGACTCCTATCCTCCAGAACTGTGAGAAAATAAATTTCCATTGTTTAAGCCACCCAGTCTGTGGTACTTTGTCATGGCAGCCTGAGCAGACTAACATGCAAAGGTGGATTAAGAATTTAAGAAATTATTATATCAAGAGGAAATTGCCTTCATGTAATTGTCACACACAAAAGCGACATCTGGTGCCAAGTGAGTGAATGAGTGAAGTGGAGACGTGGAAGTTGATGGAGACAGTAGGAAGCTCCCCCTCTCCAAGAGGATCACATTCAAAAATCAATAAATAAAAACATGTGTGGGCCAAATACAATGCTTGTAGCTGAATTGGATGGGAGACAAAAGTTTCAAATCCTGGACTAGATCTGATCTATTCTCTAAATAGTCGAGAAAGATTGTTGATTTGGAGTCTCAGAGAGAGACCTTACATTAAATCATGGTCTCTAAAGACCAAACAAATTCTTTTTTTCAGATCGGTATTAATACAGTACTGACTAACGTATTGTATTTTTATTTAAAATTTGCAACTGCTAATTCACTCAATTTGTGTAGATGGCCAAATCAAAATATTTTGCACACTATATAATAGATTGTTATAATTTACAAGTATAATGTAACCTTTCCCCCCATTCCCAACAGCATTTCTCTTGCTCTTTTGTGAGCCTTTCTAGAATGGTTAGGTACTTGGCTTGAAACTTTTTGCTTTTTCCCAGACAACTAGCAGTCATAATTTCTCCATGAGTGGCATTCCAGTCATTCTGAAGGACATTTGGCCAATTACAGGTCATTCAGATGACTAATATAAAATTGAAAGCATTTTTAGAAATATTCAATTGCTCTTCACCTGCCTTCTAAATCATCTAGGGATCTGCTACTCCAATGGGGTCCTGGACCAGCAGCGTCAGCAATACTCGAGAGCTTGGTAAAAATGCAGAATCTCAGCCCCCACCTCAGACCTACAGAAGCTGCATTTTCACAAGATCCCCAGGTGACTTGTGTGCATACTAAATTTTGAGAAGCATTGCAAGGGTACTTTTCACTGACATCAGAATATGATGTTTCCATCACAGAACTGCATGAAATCTAAAGGACAGAATTTAATGTCTTCATTTTCCAAAACTTGTTGACATCCCAGAAAACATGACACATAGGATTCTCAAACTCCAACGTCTGCAAAGTAATATAATGGAAAGATCCCTGGGCATAGAACTACAAATCCAGGGTTAGAATCTCAGTCCTGCTATTTACTAATTTCATATAAATAAATAAACTTGAAGTCTACGTTTGTTAATTGTTAATAATAATGTTCACTTTATAGAGTTTTGGAATATCAAATGTAAAACACATATAGGTAAAGAAAATTGAATACTCTAAATAAAGATGTGTTGAAGAGAGCATAGCCACAGGCATGACTCGGTCAGGATCTGAACAGACAAGTGCTTACTAGTTTTATAAAACCCTTATAAGCTGGCATACACACACACAAACACATATATGCTGATGTCAGAACACAACCTTAGGTAAGCTTCACCTGTCCAGCTACTCAAATCCTTCCCTGGCTATTGACTGTGTGAAACAGAAATATATAGCCAAAAAGATTGTTGGAGTCTGTGGTCAATTGGAAAATCCATCTCTCACCAAGGCAATCAGATTTAATTAAAAAATAAAAATAAATAAAAGACTATTTGAACCGGCTACCAATTTCAGATGTTTAGTCGAAAACAGTTAGTTGGATCTTTAAGATTTGCTACACATAGACACAAACCAATGGTTCCCAAAGTTTAATGTGTACAAGGGTCAAGTGAGAAGCTTGTTAAAAATATAGATTTTTCTTTGAATTGCCAGAGAATCTGATTCACTAGCTCCAAGATGTGATGGGAATATGCAGTTTTAAAAAGCTTTACTGTTGATTTTGATGCTGATGATCTACAACTTATTCTTTGTGAAAAGTTGTTTTAAGTCAATAAAATGCAGTCAAAGGAGAACTTCCTAAGTTCATCAGTATCAAATACAACAATAAAAATTGAATTATTTTAGTTTTATTCTATCTTTATGACACCCCTTTGTGGTAGGTAATATGAGTATCAGTATTTTACTAATAAAGAAACTAAAAGTTTAGGTATCATACTTAAAATCACGCAAGTAGAAAATGGCATAACCAGAATTTGGACCCAGATCTGTGTGATTTTAGAGCACAGGCTGCTAATCGCTATACTATGTTTCAAGGCACAGGGCACCCACCATCTCTCTAAGTAACAAGAAATGATCAATACGGCCTGGATCACCTTTGTAGGAGGGGTTTGGAAGATAGAAGAAATGAACTGAACTTCTCAGAGATTTCCTCCTCATTATTGGAGATTCATCTGGGAATGGGGTTTGGAGGAGAAAAGATAAGTAAGGTGGAGAGGATAGAACAGCTTACATGAATGTATAATTCCCGGGAACAGCCATATAATATTTTCTTGAGTTCCATGTGCCAATTTAGAATTGTCTGCTCAGTAATTGTACCTGGATGTCCCATGGTAAACTCTAACGTCCCAATCTGAACCCCTCACCTTCCTGCTCCTCCTCACCGAACCTGTTTTATTTCAATGGTTTCGCATCTTAGTTACTGGCATCCCTGTCCACTTGGGCACCTAATTCAGGAAGCCTGGAGTCCTTCTAATTCCTTGTTCAAATTCTGCACCTATATCCCATCAGATACTTAGACCAATTGATTCTCTTTCCAAATATCTTTCTGATTCATCTGCTTTTCTCCATCTACTACAGCACTTTTTAATTTAGGCTTTACAACTTCTTTGGACCATTCTTTGCCCAAGTGCCTGCAACCAATTTCACACCACCAATCTAGCTTAGCTGGATGATGGTCAAGTTGATCTTTCTAAATGAACATGTCTATTCCATCAATGGCAAATTCCCCATCTTCTATAGAAAAAAAATAAATATCTCTTAGCTGAAGTGGAAATATCTGTGCTTGTATCTGCACAAAATACCTCTGGAAGGTAACACAAGTAACTAACATTGGTTGCCTTGAAGGAGGAGACCTGGGTAGTTGGTGGATAGGGCCAGGAGGAAGACTTTTTACCCTACATAATTTTTGTAACTTTTAAATTTTGAACCGTGTAGATGTAACAAAATTTGAAAAGAAAATAAGAATTCCTCAGCTGGGTGAAATAACATGATGTTAAGGATTCGCAAAAAAAACAAAAACACAATCAGAAAGAAAAAGGAAGAAAAGAAGGAAAGAAGAGAAGGGTTAGATAGGTAAGAATAGAAAATGTGGATAAATGCATCTGCAGGCTAAGTATATTGGGGGTTTATTTTACTATTCAATGTTTTATAATAAAACTTTAAAGATAAAAATAAATCCCAAGCTTAGCCTACAAGGTACGTCATGCTCTGCCCTCTGCATGCCTCTCTGTCGGCTCTTCCAAACCCTCTCCATGCTTTCTTCCTTCTCTCCATGCTGAAATACTTCTCTGGACAAAACTCCTTTCTTTCCCATCTCCCTGCCTTTGCATATGCCAATCCTTTTATTGGAATGCTCTTGCCTTCCTTGCCTGCTTGTTGAACACCTATTCTTGGGACATAAGCTCTATAGTCACCTCTGCAGAGAAGCCTTTCCTGGGTCCTCCTCACCTCTTCCAAACAGAGCTATGCCCTCCCTTCTCTAAGCTTTCACTCTTCTCTGTACTGTCTTTTTTGCAGTTCTTCGCACATTGTGGTAATCAGTGCACCTCTTAAAACCCAGCAACCAGGGCCCCTCTTGGAGGCTCTGCTTTACAGGGCTCTTCTGGCCCTCCTCTGACTACACCTTGCCCTGGATCTAGGAGTCTGTGGGGCCAACAGAGTATGATCACCTGGAATCTTTTCTCTCATACACTCCAGATCCTGGGACCCTGAATTTTTTTTTCCCCAATCAGCACTTACTCTGATGACAGTGGCTGTATGGGCCTCCTTTTATATGAATCCTCATAAGTGTGGTCACTTCTAGTTTCAAGGGGTGGCCAAAGCCAACAGGTAGCTGTGGACAGAGTGGATAGGATTTGGACAAGCAGCCTGGTGTCCACACGTGTACACAGAAGGTCCCTGTTAGTGTGATGATCTAGGGGAGACTTCCATTTTCACTCTTGCAATAAATTAATGGTGCACGTGGCTTTAATTACTTGTGTTTTATATAGGGCTCCTCTTAAATTACTTTTAATTTTATATCTGTAAACAGAGTCTTGGTAAGGCAGAAACTATTTTCTATTAATCTCTGAATCCCCAGTACTTTGGACAATAGTTGACATGACCTCATGGTTGGGATTTAGTAAACAATAGTTGAAAGAATGAATGAAGTAAGAGTTGAAGAAGTGACTTTAAATTTCTAGCAAAATTGATTATAATAACACTTCCTTCCTTTAATTTTGCTGATCTTGAAACATTGTATTTTGAAGAATTATTTAGTAGTAGTAGCATCTTTATATACAGCACTTATAAGCTGGCATATATACATACACATACACACAGACATATATATATATGTGTGTGTGTATATATATATATATATATATATATATATATATACATATATACA